TGCATTATGTCATTATGTTGTGGGTCGATTGCATGCATTGCGTTATGTCAGATTACTCTGCGAATGACAAAGCGCTTTCCACTGCAACTAACCTGCGAACTCCAACCCTGGTGATACACTCCATCTGCCTCTCCTTCCACATGCTCTCGTCCCAGTCCAAGTCAAAGAAGACAGTGAGGTGGGGACCTCCTGGAGATGCTTCTTCATCCAACTGCTTTTGATGATGCCCTTGGAAATGTACCACTCATAGGACGTCTGCAGCTGAGAAGTAAAAAGACAATCAACTTGCGATTTCAAGAAAAACAGTGTGTTCCTTAAGCACTTGGTGACAATGTTATTCCACAAGAACTTGTCCTAGGTGTGGTATCTTTCAGCTGAAAATGCTGACATTTTAAATAACAAGATACCACAACCACAGTCCTTAACAGACTTGGACCAAACAGCTGCTAATCCTTAATGGTCATTTGTCCAAGATTTTTTGTATCCCGTTTCTTAACACAGCTTTTTTAAAACTCCAAGACAATTTCACAGGGCAATATTTACTACAGCAATTCCATCTACGACCAACTGCCATTTGCAGGCTCCACCCATATTCCACTTCCATAGACTTGGATGAGTCTGTGTGTGGGTCTGAGTGTGTAAACACCTTCAATCGTGGACCTATAACAATAGGGGACAATAGGGTCCACGGTTGCCGAAGAGTCCACGGTTGGAAATGTGTACAAAACATATACTGTAGGAGGTCTTCCAAAAAAGTTAAAGTACAAACAAAAGAGGAACAATAAGGGGTCCCCAGTCGCAGGCAAATACACACTTGCATGTGTGTGTACAAACCCAGTGGGAATCAATCAAACATGGGGATGAACATACCGGTAGTCATTATCATGTTTCGACACATGTTTCGACACGACACGTCTACCATGTTACTACACAGGAAATCCCTCAGTGCTTACCCGGTCGGTACATGTCATCTGGTGTAAAGTCTTTTAACGTCATTAACTAAAGTACACTGTACATGTAGCACTAGCTAGTAATACATGTGATCCAAGTAGTGCTTATGGAGAGCAGGCTTAAACTCAAGTTGATCATAAACACGAATAAATGCATGCAGTGGCAAAATATACATGTATGTAATAGTTTTGTAGTTCAAAATAGCATTCTCCTGTTTGAAAAGCTATACTACAGTGTACAATGTACAAATCGGCTGGCCAAACCTTGAAGTACAGAGGCACCCTGTCCAGCCTCCGGTTGGCACTAAAGGATATCCCTGTTGGTTTGGGTCCAAGTTGACTCAAAACCGGGGATGTCGGACAACTTGACCATCGAGACAACTCGACCATTGAGACACACCTTGAGCGTTTGCCAAGTCGTCCATTAGGACAACGCGACTTTGACAGAGAGACAACTCCACCAGTGACCATGGTGACATACCTACACACAGTCAGAATGCAGGTACAAAAATCGTCCACCTTGTGTGTCAGAGATACCGGTACTACTTACATGTACATACGTGTACATGTAACTAATTTCAAATTTTAAACGTTAAATTTGGACGTACATGTAAATGTATAGGATCCACGAAAGTGGTGACAACACCTTTCCTTGTTCTGGGTCTGTTTCTACATTTAACCCCACGAGCGGCAATTCCATTTTTAGTCAGAACCATTGTGAAAGTCTGATTTTGTAATGAAAAATTTTTCAATCTAGAGAAAATTAGTTCATAAATAGGAATTCCATCGAATTAAGAAAAGTGGATCTTGTGTAAGTTGGACTCAACTTTTTCAGCTACACAGCACGAGCCATCAACAATACTACATGTACATGTACCTATTAGGTCACTTACATATTTCCAACATCCTTATAGTAAGATCAGACTTCACAACATATACTGCGTGCGTGCACTTAATGCGCAATCCAAAACTACATGTACATGTAGGAAACAATATGCATTCCATTTTTTGGCCAGTTTTAATAAGCAGAAACTGCTGAGTATAAAAAAGTTTTTTGGATCACTTGTAGTAAGAGACGTATCACCCCGTAACTATTTGTCATTTTTGTTTTTCGCTACCATGATTTTTGACACACCGTTCAAAAATGTAAAAATGCAAATCATAAATCTGGCCTAAATTTCTTTTCTAAAACTTTTCCAATAACAAGTTTCGTTCAACAAGAGGCTACATGTAATTACATTTCACCTAAAACAGAACCTGTCCGAGAATGTTGAACTGAAGAACAACACAAAGAAAGTACATGTACATGTACCGGTAGGTTTTTATTTCTAGCGATCCCAAACTAGGAAAAATCCAAACTAGGAAAACGACTGTAATACAAATAACATGCCTATGCCTATGTACATGTACACTGTAGGTCAGGGTGGGTGCAATATCAATTGATTGCACAAAGATTGACTTACCAATGCTTTGGCCAGGTTTGTCTTTAATCTACAGGTGTCGGTCACTTCGCCCCATTTTCACTTCGCCCCATTTCCACTTCACCCTAACCACTTCTCCCCATTTCCACTTCACCCTAACCACTTTGTCCCATTTCCAATTCGTCCCATCCCCACTTCTCCCCATTTCCACTTCACCCTAACCAATTTGTCCCATTTTCACTTCACCCCATCCCCACTTCTCCCCGTTTCCACTTCTCCCCTAACCACTTCGTCCCATTTCCACTTCACCCCATCCCCNCCACTTCGCCCCATTTCCACTTCACCCTAACCACTTCTTCCCATTTCCACTTCACCCCATCCCCACTTCTCCCCGTTTCCACTTCACCCCTAAGCACTTTGTCCCGTTTCCACTTCACCCAAACCACTTCGCCCCATTTCCACTTCATCCCTAATCACTTCGCCCCATTTCCACTTCATCCCTAACCACTTCGCCCTATTTCCACTTCGCCCCATTGATTATCGTTCATTCTGTTCTTCAGTAACAGAGGCATAGGCCTACACGTACATTGTAGATGCAACAAATAAAAACATCGATGTGTGCAACTTTTAAAGGCCAAAACAATGCTTCCGATTTCCCAACCGCCCGACACAAATTTTAGTCCAACCATACATGTATGTATTAATTCACTATAATGGACAACCCAGTCGACATTAATTTTATGCCGTGGAGTTTCTATATAATAACTACATACATGTCGTTTGTGGAACTCCCCTCTCGGCCATTTTTTGAAGAGGCTTGTAACACACTCAAGATCGGAGGGCGAAGTGGAAATAGGGCAAAGTGGGGAATAAAAAATCACACCAAAAAAACACTCTCCATTAAGCAAAAATGACCCATGAATGGACAACATTTTAAACAAACAATGCCAAAGTGAACACCTGTTTGTCAAAAAGATGTGCATGAGTGGTTTCTGTATAGGGGTGCCCTCCTTACTGACCGTGCTGACTATGCATACACTGAAATTATTGAAAAGTAATGATTGTGACTTCTTTATTTCATCCTGTGACATTGATTTCTGCGTAAAACTTAACATGCTTAAAGCTCATTCTGTTACATTCTGTGACTTTTGATTCAGTAACCAAGTTGCTGTGCATGTCAATTTCCTCTTTGTTATAAAGATATGATTAGTAAGGGGTTCTATAGCCCCACTAGTGTGGCACGGACTGTCGCTACTGCTCCATCCTTAGCCACACATCCGTATACGCAATTTGCGTGTTGGCGTAGTGAAAAATTTTGGTGTACCCACTTATCATCGTGGGCGCAGTTTCTTTTGCTCACAAAAATGATCCTCGACCTCTCCGCTTTCTAATACTATTTAGAGGATGATTTCACTCACGTTGATCAGATATTTCCCAGTCTTTTGCCTTCACCCATTCAATCTCACAAGCTCGCGCTCACAGTCACCATCTTTAAAAACTGCTCATTGAAGATTGCGTCACTTGACCCCTAATCTTCTCGATGGCTGTTCCATGTCAAGACATACATGTACATTACAACTGCTGCCTAAGTTTTGGGAGAGCACATTGGTATTGTAGTACAATGTATCTTATTGCTCAGTCCTTGTATTAAATATGTTTTGACATGGAACAGCCGTCGAGAACATTAGGGGGTCAAGTGACGTAATGTTCGACAACCTTATTTTAAAGATAGTGACTGTGACTGTTAAAAACCTGATCAACGTGAGTGAAATCATTGCAGCATACCTGTTAGCCCCTCAAATAGGGCTGTAGTGGCTCTCTTTTACAATCTGTCTCTTATCTGTCGCCACCACAGCCCTACTTCAAGGCATGTCTTAAATGCCTGAAATCCAAGCTGCAGGATTGCCACAAACTTCGAATCCTAATATCTTCCGAAACTAGAATGACTGGACAATTTTACTTACACCATCATATTTCTCCGAGTTTGGACTTTCACACGAGCATCCTAAACCTTCCCAGAATCGTAAATTTTCTGATGTATGGTACCTTGAAAACCTGGCCTGTATTATTAAATGCTGACCACGGGCAGCGCCATTAAGAAAAACGAAGGCAGCCCTTCGAGCGTCGGAAGTCAAGGCACCCAACAGGTGCCATAGATGCATAATTCATGTCGTCACAATATTGCTTAGTATAAGTTGCGAGCACACTTTGGTAGTGTACAGTACGCCCATACAGAACATACAATGTACATGGACATGTACATGTACGTATTAATGTTACTTAAATCCAATTTCACCAGTTCCTTGTTCCTCTGTCGTGCAAGGTATGACAAGGTTTCAGTTTTGTATGGTACAACATAGACAGAGAGCCTGCCAGGTGCCTTTGAAATCCGACGCACGAAGCGCTGCCTTTGTTTTTCAAAATGGCGCCTCCCGTGGTCAGCATTTAATAGTACAGGCCGGGTTTTTCAAGGCGCCATACATCGGGAAAATTTACGATTCTGGAAAGCTTTAGGGTGCTCGTATAAAAGTCCAAACTCTGAGAAATACCCTGGTGTAAGTAAAATTGTTGAGTCATTGTCATTTGCCATTTGGGAAGATATTAGTTTCTGACAATCCTGTAGTTTGGATTGGATTTCAGGCATTTAAGACATGCCTAGAAGTAGGGCTGTGGTGGCGACAGATAAGAGACAGATTGTCAAACATGTAAAAGAGAGCCAACACTACAGCCCTATTTGTGGGGCTACATTATAAGGTACATGTACCTGTGTACAAAAAGTTTCTTTTGCTGTCCAGTTTAGATCACAACAAACATTCACAGCTCTGAGTCAGCAATTTAAGGAAAACTGTGGTCACAAAACTTAAAAAATAATAAAGGGACGTGGCTTACCTTGTACTTTGTAGTAGGCTAGTAGTTCATGTACATGTACGTGTACTGTACAGGTACAGTACATTGTACCTTCGTGAACCAGAACAAGAAGCTTGTGCTCAATTTCCACGAGCGCCCTCAAGGGGAGAAAAATATGAAAAAGAAGACCCGTTCGTCCACACTGTACTGTACATTGTACACACATGGCAAATTCTTCGCAGGAACTGGGCCCTAAAAAGTACCCCTACAGTTTCTTTCGAAATAAGGACTTTTGGTGGCCCAATAAATAATGAGCTGGTATAAATATCGCCCAGACACAACACCCTATAACCTGGGATTCCAGTCCGCCGGCAAAGCAAACAAAAACACTTCTAAAAACGTTTAAGAAGAGCCAAATAAAGTGGACAGAGGTCATTTAAAAAATAATTGCAGTCTGCAGGTGAAACCACTCCCTCAATCATTATTTCTGAGGGAAT